TCAGCAGTTATATTAGCTATATATCGTTTTTTTCCGGCATTTTTACATGGTCATACGAATTCCGCGATTTTTATATAATGCTATTATGACACGTGAACTTCAAATCTGAGGAATAACTTTTTGATGAACTCACTTCGCGACGATTCCTTCTTAAATCCCCCTTGTTTTACGATCTTATTCTTTTGGGGGAAAGGGGGAGTTATTTATCGTTTCTTCGGCCGTTTTAACACGGTTTATTAAATTTTGATTCTTTTAATACGATATTTCGAAGCAAGAATTTTGAATTTGAGCAAACGCCCATTGACGTGCTTCATTCGCGACAATTTTATCGCTTATCTACGTCATTTTCCTACTATTTTCTTGGCAATTATTTTTCGTTCTTATGGTCTTCTTAACATACTTTTGCAAATAACGATATTTTTAACATACGATATTTATAACAATCATGAATTTCAAATTTGACTAATCGCTTTTTGTGAATCTTTACTCGCGACTATGCCGCAGTAAATCAATGTCATTTTCAAATCGCTTTTTCATGAGTAACTAGAATTAGTTAATTTACTTCCGGCCAGGTTTACTTTTCACATCGTTTCTAAAATCTAAATGCTTTAAATACGATATTATTATTACACACTTATTCGGAATAACGCATTTGAATATTTAAACTTTCATACGAGCATAAATATCATCATATTATATTTACCTTTCAGGGATCGTTTTATTGCGATAAGTCACATAGCAATTATTATTTGAATTTTCTGAATAACAAAATGCTTCGTGATATCACTTTAAAAAATGCTTGCATAAACCCTGATTTTGCTAGTCCTATTGTTTAGCTTTAGCAAATTTTGCTGCTGATTTAAAAAAAAATGGAATCATGCCCTGAGATTTAGATAAGCTGTGGCAAGTCTAAATAAAACAGAGCCAAATATTTTCCATAACCAACATTATCAATCATTTAACAGTTTAAAATTTTAATAAATTTTTATCGTTGTTGCTTTCGTTCCCACTTGATTAAACCAAATCTGTACTTTGAAACAATGAAGAACCAAAATTGAAATGCAACTGGCTCGTTCAGCCTGTTAAGGTATGGTCAGGATTGGTTAAGAGTCAAGTTGCATTTTGAGCAAAAGAGGATTAGTTTTAAGACCCTGCAAATGCAGTAACTAAATTTTTTTTCTTCGTATATGAACAAAATAAGTACACCGGCAGCACTTCAAACTAAATTTGAAAGAACAAAATCAATACAAAATCCAAAATATGTTAAAACCACTGTTTAATAAAATTCTCACTGATTTCCAAAATCAAATTTTAAAAGACCTGTTTTAAAGATGAAAATAAAAAAGTTATGCTCACTCTTATCTGAATACTTTGAAATCTCTTAATTGAAAGAAGTGGAGTAATAAATAGATAATCAGGGGTCTGTCCAGGGCAAATTTACTGCCGTTTAGCGGTACTTTCACAAATTCAATTTATAGAAAAACGGTTGTTTCACAAAATACTTTTAACATATTTTCAAAAAATATTTAAATATTTTTGAAAATATTTTTTTATTTCACCTTATTTTTGTGTTGATTTTTTAACATTATTTTTCACAAATTATGTCTAAATTTTCCCAAAATAGGTACCTCTCAAAAAACCCTAGACAGAACTCTGATAATGTAAGTCACATAGATATGTATAGTAATGTTGTTGTCATTGCATATCTCCGTTGTTTAACAATGCTAAATCAGGTCTGTGAAATCTGTTGCTCTAAGAAAGTCTAATACTATAATTGGGTTTGTGAAAAGATCTTGTCTGGAAAGCCCCAGACAATCTAATATATATTCAAGGGTGGTCTGATGGTCAGCACACTTAACACAGGGTGGGAAAACAAAAAACTTTTTTTTCTACTAGAATAAGACAGAGATCTCAAATGTCTACGGACAAGTCTGGTGATGTCCGCCGGGTACCGCCTACAAAACTTGAGTGATAAAGCATCCCAGGGAACCTTCCCTGGTACCATTGGTGAACAGGCAGGATGGTCCAAAAAGCATTTCTAGCCTTTGAGAACAGCTCCAAATAAGTTAATGAATCAGGTGTGTCCAACGGATTAGTCTTTAGTCAAAATATCTACTGTCTCATTACCATGTATAATGTGTAGTAATAGATAGTCATAGATAGCAAAGTCCAGTTTGCCACCCATGAACATGGGGTTAATAAATTGTACACACTTGTTTGAAAAATTAAGAGGACAGAGTTAAAGAAGAATGTAACAGGGAAGAGGATAGAAAAGGAATTGAAATGAAAATTGATAATATTTTGAGGAAAATTATACTCATCATCTTTCAATGACAATGATCATCATTCACTAATTAATTTTATCAGTTAAAACATAATTTAATTAGATAAACCATCATATAACTATAGAACATCGATTCTGTTAGACATTTTACACAAAAAAAAAAATGAAGTAATACAATCTACATCAATGTATGTTGAGGAGGATGCATTTTTACTTACATTTTGATGGCGAACAAAATACCTAAATGGGGTGTTAAAGATAAACTTGAAATTCGAATTTATCCTTCACACTCAAAGTAATATTGAAGTTATAAATATTTTTATAAACTTCTAAACTATTTGAATCTTTAAAGTCTAACTCAGGTAAAGATAATTCGACAATGTTAAGAATTTTCAATGTAAAAAATGCAGCTCAGGTTCAATCAAAACATCAAATGTAAATTAAAACAGTTTCTATTAAATGAAATAGCATCTTAATTCAGAGCTCTCCCTAGGAATAAAAAAGGGCAGGGTGCCTCTTTGCAGAAAAGGGCATTTTAAGTTTTAAAAGGACACTTACTTGTCACTGTTACAATTTATAAAAATGTCTAATATTATATAATAACTGAATTTGATCCTCAATTCTTTAATTACCCTCTTATACTATTTTAGGTGCATAGTTCACAGTAACTCTCACTCATTTTCAAAATAACTGAAAAATTTGAAAAAATAAATAATAAAATTATATAAAATAATAGTATAAATTTTCTGCAAAAAAATGAACTAAAAAAAAAGGATTAATTGATAAGCAACTTGAAAGCTGTTTCTATATTTTAAACTGAATATTATGAGAAAATAAACATTTAAAGGATTTTCAAATAAAAGGTATTTACTAAAAAAAAAATTTTAAAAAATTGTAAAATTTAAAATCATTAAAAAATACATTATTATAATCCCTGTGTCAAATAAAAGATGTAAATATTTCGTGGGTTGAATATCATGCAAACTTTAATTATATAATTAGGCAACATAAGACTTACTAAAATGATGGAATGAAATTAAAAATTAAAGTTAAATAATTATGAATAACTAATTAAAACAGAAGTGAACATTTTCATTAAAACAGGTAGTTAAGAAAAACTTTTCCTCAAAAAGTAAAATAAAAAGGCAGTGTTTTTAAGGTATGGCAACTTATTTACAAAAAGGGCAAGGAGGATGTATTTATAGAGATCAAAGGACCCTTCTAAAAACATTTAGGAAGAACAACATTGTTTAGTTTAAAAAAATTTTGATATTTAAAAAAAATATTGTAAGTCAGTTCATAACTGTATTTGTAATGTATAACTTTAAAAGTTTTTTTTCCCTAAGAGTTGATTTGCTAGTTTATAAAATCAGGCAGTTTATGAAATCAAGAATTTTTGAAAATGAGTGATTCCCCTCCCCCCGCGACAACCGAGTTTCAATCGCTTTAAAATTTATGAATTCCTTTCATGATTATAAATAAAATAAACAAAAACAATAAAATATCTCAATTTCAATATGCATCATATTGTATACGCTATTGTAATACAGTTAAACTTATCCAAACCAAAACTTCCAATATGTCTTAACTTGCACAGAGTTCGTAGTTCTCCTGATATTCATGAGGAAAAATATTTTGTCCTTACTTGTTTTTAAATTTTGTCCTGATATTTCTGATTTTTGTGTATCTACACAACTTCATATTTTCTACGAATAGAAACGCAAAGATTATTTTAAGAAATCAAAAGATTTCTGTTTTCAATTTTCTTCCATCTGATTTTAAAAACAGTTGATTTCAATCAACAATACAACAATTATATCATAGAATTCTTGAATGGTGATCCATTAAATTATTTTCTAACCAAATTGTTAAGCAGCATATTTACTGTGTTTTCATTTGAAGATTATTTAAACCCTACAATCTACATCAAAATTATTTGATTAAAATCTTGAATTTAATTTCAAATTTAGATGTAAAGAAATATTGTCTAATTGATACTGGTTATTTATTATTATCCTCGGGCCGGTCAAAGGTTGACTCAACCTTTCATTCCTTCAGTGGGTCGATAAATGAGTACCAAACATGCTTGGGAACTAAACACTGGGGGTTCCGCGTTCGGTTGACCACCTGACCGGAACATCTGCACCCCAGAACCCAAGAAAACTGAGATGGGCACAGTTGGCCCTGGCCCTCTATGGGCTGTTGCGCCACTGAGTTTAGTTTTATTTATTATTATTTAATGCAAAGGTACTAGAAATTTTTTTTAATATTTCAAGCTATTAAAAAATTTTGTTCACTGCTTCATTAATAAAATTGTACTGAAAACTGTTAAAAACTTTCTCTTAAGAAAAACAAAGTAATTTTGAAACTAAAAATGGCACATTTTGCATAAAAATAATATATAAAACTTGTCTTTATTATACTTTAGTAGAGCAAGTTATAAATTTTTTACTTTGTCTTTTTTTAAAAATTAGTCTGGTATGTGCCTAATGTTCCAAAAAATGTATGATTTTTGTTTTAAAAAAATTTTGATCTTGATTTCTTCTTTGGCCCACTATGAAGCCTTTAGCATGCAACAGAAATCATCACATAGTTTTAAAACTAGCACTTGAAATTATTGAAGTTGTCATAAATTTCCTTAACTTTAACTTCACCAAGCACGTCATTTCTGTAAATAAAAACAGTATTTATAAACAAAAGCATAAATAAAATTTACCTTTGGTTGAGCTAACGATGCTAAAGTATTCTGATTTTCTTCTTTTTCCAGGGTATGGATCTGATGATGAACGAACAACTCGTTTTGGGGAAGCTTTAGAGTATCGATCTCTACTCAACAGTGGCAAAGTATTTCTGAATTGGGATTCATTTAGAGGTTTGGGGGAACTGTAAATGAAGGAAATGAAAATTAGCATTTCTTAAAATTACACAATATAATTGAAAAATTAGCAATATTAAAAATTTAACATGGTTCCCACTTAATTTCAGCAAAAAAAGTCTGTGACTTTTTCAGGTATTTCAGGAAAATTTTGAAGTAAATTCAGACCATATTTAATTTAAACAAGGCAATTTTACATCAGAAAACTCAGATTTTTCTTTTATTTGTGATGTATAATATTAGATTTTGTGAGCAAAAAAAAAATCATTGGATGAGAATAGAAGCATGGAAAAGTTTCACTAAAATGTGCAATTTTCATAACAAATAATTGTAATAGATGTTAGAATTATTTAACTCAAATGCTAATAACTGATTACTGTTATTGACAATTCTAAGACTGCTTATTTCCTAAGTATGATGTAAGAATTTTCTAGGATTTTGTTATCAGGATTTGAATTTTCTAGGATCGAGTCAAAATAAAATTCCCTGACAGTTAAAAGTTTTTCCTGTTCTCCGTGACCTGTGGCATCCGTGTTTTAAGTAATATAAACATACTACCCATGCAAATAGTTAAAAAAAGTTTTTAATTTATATCAAAATAATGTCTATGGAATATAATAAATCACGTCTATGAGCTGTCACAGTTTATTTATATCTAAACTAAACTCAGTGACGCGACAGCCCATAGAAGACCAAGACCTACTGAGCCCATCTCAGTTTCTTTGACCTTGGGTTCTGGAGTGCAGGAGCAGATGTTCCAGTTGGGTGGTCAGCCAAATGCGGACCTCCAGTGCTTAGTCCCCAAGCATGCTTGGTACTCATACTACGCATGCAACTCATACTACTCAACATGAAACTCATACTCGCATGCAACTCATACTACTCACTACTCAGACTACACAACTCATATCGACCCACTGAAGGGATGAAAGGCTGAGTAAACCTTGCCTGGCACGAGGATAGAACCTAGGACCTGTGGCATGAGAGCACTACCACTCTGCTGCCGGGCGTTTTGTTATATCAATTCAACTAAAGAAATTGTTTTAAGTTTTTGTGATGAATATTTTTTTCTCTTTTCTTTTTTAAATTTCAGAAGGAGGCTCCATCCCGCATTCATTCAGCTCACCAACTATGGTAATTGCATTTCATTCAACAATTTATTTTCTTACAAGTTAATCGAAAAAAGAAAATTTCTTTTTTATAAAATTATAACATAATAAATAGATACTTTGATTTGAAAAATTATCAAATATACTTTAAAAAAATTTAAACTTATTAATTTATAGTTAGAAACATAAAATGTGTGTCTTATTATTGAACTTCAAGAAATGTAAGGCAAAGTTGAACAACCAAACACAGTGGAAGAATTTATGACTTTTTTTTAATAGCGAGATATGTTTTAAATATAATACTTATAAATACATAAAAGTCTTGAATTAAAAATCTTTGTATTTAGAGTTTTGTGTGATAAACAGCAAATGTCACCCAGCATCATTATTGTGGTTAAAAAGTTAATTACAATTAAATATCTCAATGCATGTTTATGTATTCACGTTAAAAGATAAAATACTTTAGGACAATGTACTAAACATTTGTTTTAGTAGCAAACTTGAATTTGCAAAATATATTCTATAAACCTTTAATGTTAATTTTCCTTCAAAAAAAAATTCTTAACTGTTTTAAATAAAATTGAAAATTTTATTTCATGATATTCATATTTTAACACAAATAGGGAATAAGATAATAGAAGAGACAATTATTATTGTCCCTTAACCCTTTAAGGCAAATGGGACACCGATGTCCCTTTTATATTTTTCTGATGCAAAATATATTTTGGAATTTTTAATTAAAGAAAACAATCTAATAATTACTAAAAAAAAATCTGATTATTAAATTACTAAAATGTAAAATTCAAAAAAAGATGCTTGTGAATATTTTTTTTCATTCATATTCAAAACGTTATCAATAACTGATTTTGTAAATTGATGAATTTTCAAGATGAAGAACTGTTTCTTTTATACCTACATAATTACCAATAAGTGCAAATTTCAAGATGAAGAACTGTTTCTTTTATATCTAAATAATTACCAATAAGTGCAAATTTGAAAAATTATTGTTTGGAAGTGAGCCGTGATTGCCTTTAATATAGAAAAAGATACCATAGTTTAATGGTATTTCATAACCATAAATTATGAAAATGCTACATATTTTATTTTATTTTATAATCGTTGACAGCCGACCCAATTTTGGGTTTAGAACTACCAATGTTCAACTCCGTAGCCTTGTAACTTTGTACCTAATCCAAAAGAAAAGGGAACTTCTGGATCAAGTATTTGGAGAAATTTACATTCGTAGAGGACTTTTTGATGGAACTAATCCGCATTTGCATTACATGGTAAGGATAGCCACAAAAACCTCCAACAGTTAGCCTGACAGCAAGCGGACTCTAACCCATGATCCGTCTACCACTGAGGATATTTATGTCAGCATCAGTCGGTGCAAGCCGAATGCGGAACTTATATCTACCAGTCATTTCTGGGATTCGAACCCGGTTTACCTCATTGGAAGGCGAACGCGCTATCCCCTGAGCCCCAACGGCTAAAAATTATATTTTCGCTTATACTTTTGACCTAAATTAATACAAAAACAATTAAAAAAAGTGTGAAAAATATGTTTAATAAAAATTATGCACCAAATGGTTTTATTGTCTCAGTATCTCCCTATACAGACATTATCTGCACAAGAAGTTTTAATTAGTAAATATCAGCAATGTACCCTACAAGTAAAATTATAATTTTTAAATCTTTTAATGCACTGATTACCTCAACAGATATAAGAACTGCATACATTTCAAAATCAAAGTTATTATAATAATTTCACACTATCATGAGCATACACCAAATTATTAATAAAAGAAAAAGTATATTTAATCACAAACTTCAGAGCACAGGACACTTTAAAAATTTTTTTTCCTTTTGACATTTTACTCAAATAATAAATTTGGATCAGCTATTTTCATTTTGGAGTTTTCCAAATATGACTTAATAACTTATCAACAATATTTAATAAAAAAAATTTCAAAAAGATACTCAAAGGAACTTTTATTAAAATATTTTAAAATATCAAAAGGATTTTTATTTTAACTACAAAATTTAGACCAACCAAAAAATTTATAATAAATTTTGATGTTTCAATAAACGCAACTTGTTTTCAAGAATAAACTAAAAGCAGGTTGGATCACAAAATGTTTATTTAATCATGAAAAATTTAATAAAACTTGCTTAAAAGAGTATATTCTTTGATGCTTAAAAAATAGTTACTCTTTAATTATTGGCATATTTGATACTAAATTGCAACTAAAATACAGTCAAACCTCGATATCTCGAACTTGAAGGGAGAGGAGAAAAAATTCGAGATACCGAAAATTCGAATTATCGAAAATCGCATGTTATCGATGGTAGAATAAAGAAAAATGCTCTTTACATAACTTATTTACACTTTTTACACTTTCATTTAAAAAAAGATTCAATTGTTGTTTGCTTAAGAGATGTGTAAGAAAGTTTGTCTGCAGCACTTTCTAAGTGGACTATAGCTTTAAATGTCTCCTCTGACATATTTGGCTGCCTCTCAAATAAACCTCCTTACAGTGTCCACTGCAGAAAGTGCTTGTGCTTTGGGTGGTAAATCTTGGGTGGAAAGTGCTTTGGGTGGTAAATCTTCGATTTCCTCATCCTCTTCTTCTGATAGTTCACAAGAAGCTTACGTTTGAGCAATGATATCATTGTCATGCTACTGACCACACACTGTTACTGCATCATCTACGTTTACAAAGTTATAAAATTCCAAGTCATCAAGTGTCATGAGTCCAGTCAATCTGTCCCGATCATTTTCGGTGTAATTTTCAGCAGAATTAACGATATTGATTATTTGACTACTTTCGTGATCTTTAATGAATCCAGCCTTCTTGAAGCCATTCATTATCATAGAGAGAGAGACACATCATTCCATGCCACTGACTTCCTTATGTCCATTTTTTTTTAAAAAGTTTATCATTATGAGAATTGGTTTTCTATTCTTAAAATTTTTTATTTTTTTTTTTTTAATACTTTTTTATTTTCAGAAAAAAAAATCTACACTATTTATGGAGAAAAAAATTCAAGTTATCGAGGGATAAGAAAAAAAAAAATTCGTGAAATCAAGTTTTTTTTAGCATTTAGTGTATAGGAAATCTGAAGGGAATTTTTTCTTCTTCGAGATATCGAAAAATTCGTGAAATCGAGGTTCGACTGTATTACAAAACAAAATGCTTAAAATAAATCTTCAAAAAAAGAAAAACAGAAAAAAGAAATTAACTCTACCTGTTTACTGTTTTCTCATTCAATAGACAATTTTCATGAGAGTCATAAAGATCACAAACCATTTCCTTTTCGGTTTCAATTTTTGAACAATCACATAAATGATCTTCCTCTAAATCTACAAATAAATACATAAAAATGTGGTGAAAAATTTCATAACATAAATCATAACCATTACTAAAATAAAAATAAAAACTTACCTTCTGAAAATATTTCAGACGCTTTAGAAACTGATCTTAACTTCAAGAAAAATTTATGATGAGCCATTGACATACTAAACAAATACTGACTCCTATAACAAAAGATAAAAATTTTAAGTATGAAAATCAAAAACATATTCAAATAGAAATGATAAACAAAGTGACTAAATCTTACCTGGATAATTCTGCAGTGTAAAACTTATAGATAACATGTTTACCAAAATGATTTTCATTACTTGGAGCAATGCAAAAATATTTCTTAGAAAATGATATTCGTTTAATATTTTGCCACGAGTAAGTTTGTGTGACAGTCCTTTTACCAGATATGTTGTCATACACATCTATTCCAATTGGTCTTATTCCTAGCCAAACAGCTGATGACAGATTTCTTTTATCCTACAAAGATGTAAAAAATAAATTAATTAATTAAAAAAAAAAAAGAAAAACAATTTTGGTGACTGGCATGTTATGACTATACAGGATCTTTCCTTAAGACCTTAATGTATATATTTAAAATCCTTATTTTTTTTTATTTTTAATAACCGTTGTTGAACAGCCGACCCAGTTTTATGTGTTTGCGACTACTAATGTTCAACTCCGCAGCCTTGTAATTTTGAACCCAATCCAGAAGACAAGGGAGCTCCTGGATCGAGTATTGAGAGAAATTTGCCTTCGTGGAGGACTTTTTGATGAAGCTAATCTGCATTTGCGTTACATGGAAAGGAAGACCATGAGAACCTCCCATGGTATTTTCACAACATAATGTAATTATTTATACGGATAATAATTGAGGGTTCTAAAACTTTACTGGCTATAACATGAAATAAGCGACCAGATAAGTTCCACAATTTAAGTTGTTAATTTGAAACTAAAACACAGTTAAATGTGAGTTACTTACTCACACTTGAAGTCACAAGCTAAATTTGTAGTAAGTGTGAAATAAAAAAGGTAAACAACTTATATGTCTTTTCACGCATTTGGTTTGTTTTCAATATATTTTCTAAAAGTAAACACAGCAAATAGTATTTCTTTGAGCAGAGTTTCATGACTTTAATTTTAAATATTTTTTCTCTATTTTTTGTAAAATTGAGACTATATTAAAGTAATTGAGAGAAAAAAATTAAGTTGTCAAGTTTTTTAACATTTGACATTGTTTTAATGTTATTTTTGTAATGTTTAGTAACATTTGGAGCAATGGAAATTTAAAAAGAATTTTTCTTCTTCTTTGAGGCATTGAAAAGATAGAAGATCTAGATTCGTACTACACTTTGTAAGTATTTATCAAAACACTAGATTAAAATTTCAGGGTTTTGAAATTAGTGAAATCAGTTAGAAATACCACAGATGAATTAGTAATGGTATCTGAAAAATTAAATTAACACCAAGCAAATTAAAGAAGAGAAAAATAATATAAATAAGTGAAAATACTTTAGTTTCTATTAAAAAAAATTAAAACATAGAGTGATCTAAAACCAATCTAAATGCCTGGCCAAAGTTTACAATTCGATCAAGAGCATTGAGTTAAGACTTGTTTTACCAGATTATAATGCTAAAAATAACATGAATGTTGATTAGGTAAGCTTAAGCATATATTTTTATTATAAATTTATATTTTGAGGCAAAATAAAGCATATGATATAAAAAAAAATAAAGCACTAATGATATATGGGAATATATAAGAATAATAGCTGGAAAGAAGTTTATAAATATGAAAAATCAAATTCATTTTCTATAAACAATAAATCAAAAAGCTATGAATACCTGATAAACTTTATAAAAATGACTGCCATACTCAGGAGACTTCATATAAGCCTAAAAAAGATATAAAAATTTTTCATTATATTGAATTTTTTTTAAAATTTCCATCTAAATAGCAAAAAAAATTCATCTAAATAGCAAGTTTTTATAGAAGATAGAACAAGAAATTTAATAAAAATTGATATTTTTAAAGGTCAAGTATGTCAGCATCCATTTATTATCTTAATTAAAACTAGAAGCAAAATATGAAGAGAGGACTTTTATTGAAAAAGATAAGCATTCACTTTTCAGCTTTTATGAATATCAAACTCATTTGAATTTGATTCTAAAAAAATCTGGTTTCCTTCCTTAACCGAGGTTTCCTAGGTTAAGGAATTCTCAGTAATAACAATTTTTATACAAATATAAATGATATTGTAAAGACTTTTTTTTGTACCATTTCTAATGAGCAATAGTTTAAACTAAATATTTCACTTATAGTAAAATTGAAATTTTAGTAAAAATTAATTTACAAAATTACTTAATATAAATAATTTTAATAAAGAAATTTTAACATAAGGAGACTAAGCACAATGTAAAACATAACGACCAACTGATATGGAATTTCCATAGTATCAGAAAAGATTTTTTTTAGTGATAGCAAAGGTAATGTATTAATATATTAATAAACTGGTATCTAAAATTCTTTTGCTCATCTCTACATACAGGGATGAGATTAGCCAAAAGGCAAAAAAGCTGAATTTCCACGATAGTAAATTTTACGCAAGCGCAATCCTTTAATAATAAAATCCAGACAGTTTAAGGTAATAAATAATGTGTTGACATGCAATTGTGTACTAATCTATTATTATATAAATGATTACATTGATACTTAACATTTAGTGAAAATAAAAATTACCAATTGAAAAAATAAAGCTGGAAATTATATTTTTCCTCAGTTCACATAAGAGACAATTATTACTTGAAAAACTACCTGGTTTAGCAAATTAAAACTACTGAGAATATACATTAATATTTCATTTCTTTTAATAAATACTGTTATGTGATTTATAGCAAATATATCAGTAATATTACTTTTTAAATTATATTGGGAAAAAAAACTTTAACAATGGACCGAATCATTATGTTAATATTATAGTCTAATCTAACTAGAGCCCTTTGAAACATATCAATAACAGTGAAGTAGAAATATATAGTAACTCCTTTACATACAAAAATTGCTATTTTAGTTTGAAAAATTACATGACAATCAGTAACTATTTAGATAATTGTTTTTTATTTGATAAGAATTTTGCCTTTTATAGCATAAATAACAGCAATTATAAATAAAATTTTGATGATGAGTTAATTAACTCTTTTTCCAACCAAATAATATTAATA